GACCCCTACATCCAATTTACCATTAAAAACGAAGATGAGAACCTGTCGGAGTCATCCCCACCAACAATAATAGTTTATTGATAGACTGGTACCAGAAACCATGACCTCAGACCGTTGCCTTGATTTTAGATCATACCATAAATTAAGGAATAAAATCAACTTGGTGAAGCTGATGAAAACAAGGGTAATCAGCATCTCTGATAATGCTTTCCATACTTCAAATTTACGGAAGCTATCAAAACTGTTCATCAACAATGGTTATCCGAAGTGTTTCATTAACAAGATCTTGTTCCAGTATTTTACCAAACTCTAATAATCCAAGTCCTAATAATAGAACTGATATAATTCCCAACAACAGTACCAATTCTAATAACAATATAACCGCCATCCCAAATTCCAGATCTGGTTTTGCTGTACTACCCTTTATCAAAGAACCGACCCCTAAGGTGATCAGACTATGTGGCCTCTTGAACTGTCGAATTTCTTGCAAATCCGTCCTCACTATAAACTGCATTTTTTCAAGGATGAAAGACAGAGTCCCGCTGCTTGGCTTAACCAACACAGTCTACTCTATCAATTGCAACAATTGCAACCAAATATAAATAGGTCAGACCTCTAGATCTCTAAAAGGAAGGATTTCATTACACAAAAGCTGTTCTACGCTTCATCCCGAGAGATGTGCGCTGGCATATCATGTCAATACAAAATATGAACTATACAAGTATCAAAGTTCTTGAGAAAGAAAAACACCTATCCAAACGTTTATTCCTGTATGTCCCACATTTTCATTAATTACAACTGTATGAATACGGAGACAGATGTTAAGCAACCGAGCGTCATTGACTCATATTTGCTAAACTGCGAAAAGTACATATCTCTCCAAATTTCGACTTTTCACAACCATAAATGGAATCGGTTTTTTGGTCTAATCCACCCTTTCCCTCCAAGATTTCCATTCCATTCAAATTTGAATAATTGTTTTTTCTCATAGTAAAATAATATTTGTTGAACTCGATTGTCCATCTCATCAACAATATAGTTTGTTCAACTGCCTATGGTCTGTTGACAGGCTCTTATTTAACATATCTTCACAAATAACAGCGTCTGGCAACATAGCACACGCTTTACAAAAATGTTCGTTCCATCCATCGACACTGACACCACCAACCTTCTGTCACCTGTCAAACGTTTCATCCTACTTGTGATCCTATGCCCACCATTTTGTGCAGCATCAGGTGGTTCAAGATGTAATTTTACCTTTCGTTTTAAATATTTTAATCCATTTTAATTTGTTCCTGGCATACAGCTGTGTGTAGTTTATAATAATTCAGACGAATGTACCATGTATCCAGCATTCACCAAGTTACTGGGTGTTTCTCTCAACCAAAACGTTAACAACATTTAGCAACAATCTCAAATACGACTGTAAGTTAATTTATAATCATGTTGCAGAAAAGTTGCTATTTCTTCTCAATGTTATTGCAGCTCCTGATGAAGATGGCAAAGTCTATTGAAAGCTAGAGATTAATAAAGTATAAAGCGTCCTCTTTGCTTGAATTTTGTCGAAGTACCCAACAAAAGGCGGAAGCTTTCTTTTTTCACCTATATATATATATATATACATATATATATATATATATATATATATATATAACATAGCTGCCTTATCCTCATTAGAAAGTTTGAGCAAGGATCTCAGTAGCGCTAATTTTAATGAATAGATTGCTCTTTGGTCGTCCATCGAGCTTGAGGCACGGCGCCTGGCGGTCGAATCTTGAACGTTTTCTCTGTATCTCCCCCAAGGAATATTATTGAAAGTTCTATTAATTGTCGATAAACAAGACAGTATAAGGTGGCACCTATTGCCAGAATCGCAGTTTATGCAGGCCTATTTCGAAGTTAGCATATTATAGCGAAGCAATGAAAGAAGACAGACAGACCTAACGTAAAGTGGGCCAGAAAGTTCTTACGAGACGAGGCCGCAACATGGTATGCATTGTGTGCTCAAGTCAACTAACGGACGGACAGATATTATTCATACCTGTGTTGTAGTTTTTGAGGAGTCTTCAGTTTCATTTTATTTTGACATTATAATTTTTTTTTTTGATTTTGAACAATGTATCATAAATGGGTAATTGTTGGGCTGTAAAGGCAATTATTAGTATTTCTTATCCAGTTACCGGCTAGTTATTTGTAGGTTCACTTCTCTATATCAATTGTTTGGCTACAGTCGAGATCAAATAATTCGTCACGTTTCACTTCTCCACCGTTTTCCAACACAACCACCAAATCATACGTCTTAAAGCGTCTCAAAATCTGATAAAATTGAAACCCCATTTATTAAATCTTTTCAAATGACAAATACATTAAGTCGCAAGGCGGAAGCCGAACTATGAAAAATGCGGATTTTATATTATGAACTCTGATATCCATTATTCCCTATCAATACAGACTCCCTCTTATAGCGCGAGATGGATCTCCCCATCGGAGCCGCAGACCCTAAAAAGCTAACGATCGGCCATTTTACCGAGCAATCTGCTATATCCGGGGCAAAATGGTTGCGACGTGTCGTAGATAAGAAAGTATTGGAAAGAACTATTGAAATAATCAGTCACATCGACCGTCTCTAAGCACTGAAACCGGCGTGAAAGCTTTGCCAGTTATCGGATTTATTGACTTTGGCCGGCAGCCATTTCTTGTCAACAATATCTTTGCGATGCTTGCCAGAGGCGGACTAGAGTATGTTTTCCCGCTGAACATCAGTCATCAGTCTCAGAGTTATTACAGGCGCTGTATACGCGTTCAGGATAAGGACACGTGGATGAAAGAAACTTTTTCCTAATTCTTCTGACCTCTGTTTCACAACTCTTCTCCACTTAATTCAAGAACAGAATTATTACCTTTTGCTTCGTATATTTGTTTCTTTTGTTCTTTCCATTGTGGTGAGCTAAAAGCTTACGGGATGCTGTTCATCATATCCTACTAACTGCGCCAAATGACAATACCATCATGTCTAAATGTACAAATAAGATTGAGAAAAGAATGAGACAGGATGGAATAGTATGGTATGAGATCTTTCATTAAAAAACCGTACTCTTCCACCATGACAACGCACCGGCTTACACCTCTGCCGTTGTCATGGGCAAATTGGTCGAAACAGGTTACGAACTATTGCGCCATCCCCCGTATGCTCCAGATTTGGCCCCATGCGACTTCTTTTTGTTTCCAAACTTGAAAAAGTCGAAAGATGATGATAGTGTCTGTTGAACCCAGTAAAAGGTTTTAACGCTATTGATGTCATTTTAGTCAAACGCCTTTTCATAACCAATGAAAGATGTGAAAACTTCTTTGTGGATCACGACACTTTTGCCATACTCTCTTGGATGTAAATTCGGCCAGCTGTGAGACTTTAAGGGTGGATGTTATTAGCATTAGAATTCAACAGGGTCTTCGGCCAATTAGGGAACAGCTCATCGAAATGCGATTTGACGGAAGCTGTTAACGCTCCCCTCATCTCAGTAGTTTCCATTGAAATATTGGATAAAAATTCAAAAAAAGTGGTTATTTGGTTCCAGCTTTTTTCCGGTAAATATGGAAATATTTGAATTATTTTGAAAAATCGTGGAAAACGACGCTTTCCGTAAATATTCTCATTTCGGTAAGAATACCGAAAAATCCGGTTCAAGTCCAAGTTTTAACATGCGTAGAAAATCCGAAACTTGCAGATTTTATATTCTATTTTGCGTTTATGTACAATTTGTGGACACGAAATATAAAGGATATAAAAGGTGATGACAATTTATGAACATACAAATCTCCTTAAAATAAGAACACCATCACCCCTGTCGTTGATTTCGATTGACTATTGGTATCAATCCTCAACTATTTTGCAAGCATCATTATGCCACCAATTCTATGTATATCCGTTCATCTTCGCCACTATTTCATTTGAAGCTTTTATTTTTCAAAAGATTTTAGCAAAATGTAAAATAGTAAAGTCAGCACCGCAGCCCAGTTGACAAGAATGACAGCTGCCAAGTTTTATGTGTAGCCTGGGGTACCGACGGAGCCATTTGGGATGTCATGTCGCTAATTTTGAAATTCTCATTTGCATTTTTTCAAGTGTTTTGCAACGATTTCTGGAAAAATTCTACTATTACAAAGCATACATAGGACAGTATATTTCAACAGTTGGCCGGGTTTGCTCCACTGGGACTAAGCCTGTTAATCGAATTTAAACAACAGGTTATTTAATTAACCGGTTATTTTTGCTCAACCCTAGCTTATTGTTTCAATTCAATTCTAGTTTTTTTGCAGGTTTTAGGTTTGCTGGCAGGTTAACGACATATATTTGCGTATTTCTCACGCTATAATTGTAGTGTGGATGTTTGTTCACCGCCTGAACAATGAAAGATATCCAACTTTATGGGGGATATCAAAAATCCTGGATGGTTTTGTGCGAATATCAATCTGAGGTGCCATAGTGGCACTTATGAACGGCAAGTAAGTGAATGAATATTTGAAATTTTTGGTAGATAGTGTCATCAAGTAGGTATTTAATGGCTATCTGCAAGAGGTTTATAGGTGGATAGGTAATTTTAAATCAGAAAACTCGCATATCAATTGCAGATAATAATATACACATCAATTTATGACCAACGATGATAAATACACAAGCATTTTATTCAAAACACATTTTTCATAATTCTGACTGAATTATATCTGTGTCTTAGAGGTATATAGTTGTAACTCCATCTAATGCAATTCAGAGAACAAGCAAATTAAAGATTGAGTTAGTAGCAGGATGGCTTTTTGTTCATGTTACTGTTAAGATGCGAATTTAGTTTTTTGGGAAAACATATTATATGGTACACAGAACAGTAATGCTTCATGTTGAGGATCTTACAATTTGATATTCAGATTATTTTGTGAGTTACGACTATTTACTGTAATAATAAAATCCAGGTGCAGCATGGGATGAAACACAGTAAGTACAATTGGTGGAAATAGGCTATATTTTATTATTACAAAAAATGACATCTGGAGAATATAATATATTCAATCGTCGTCATCGTCATCATCTCCTTGTTGACCCTATTTTTATAAAAATCATGAAATGCTTCTGGTATCCATTGCAGAAGCATAACAAGATGCTTTTTCTTGTTAAGTCCTTTTGGGGTTTGACACAGGCGAGCATAGTTCTAGCGGTAACCCTATCGGTTTTCTAGAGGATCTATTCATGTTTAAAATTTTGTAGTCCTCTTGGAAGATGTCTGTTTTATAGTAGAGTATCCCTGGATCCTGTTTTCGAAGCTCAAGCCACACCGCTGATGACACAAAAAAGCTTTCTTTGTCAATTGTCTGTTTCTTTTGAAAGAGAGGTGCCGGAATATAAGGCCTCGAAGTTCTTGAAGTCATCTTACTGCATCTCGAAAACTGTGGCTCCGGTTGATCTTATAAGTTGCTGCCATTCCCATGGCGTACATATTTTCATGGTTGGTTGTTTTTTATAACTCGTTCGATAAGTGCATAGATGTGATCAGCTTCCATGTGTGTGTGTCCACGTAGAAGAAACTTGTGAATGATACACTTTAAGGAAGGACTTATTATTTGTAATATGTAAAAGTAGTTTACGATCATCATAATGTTCCTGTTTTGGCTCGGACACCTATAATATCAATTATGTTGTACTTACTAGATTCTCAAGAATCGATTTCCTTCTCCAGTGCGAGCTGCAATAATTTTTTGAGCCCTTGAGGAGATTATTACCGTTTTTTGGTTACTTAAGCTCCTTGATCAACTTTGAAGAATGATTGAACAACACAGTTTGTAAAACAAGCGGTGCGCGACAGAGGCACGACTGTTTACCGCTGCGTATGACAGTATTGTGCGTATGTATGGAGAAGCGACTGTTTACCTCTAACAAGAAAACACTAGCTGCTTGTTCTATTTCATATATTTCATGATTATCGTGGTTAGGCGCTACGACTATTTACTCCACGTAAAGATTAACCAGGGATACTAATTATACGCAGATAATCACAAAAACTGCAAAAATGGGGTTACGATCGTTTACCTCTAAGGCACAGATATGTAATTTCTCAATACAATGTTTCAATGGCAAGCTCTCATCTCATATGTCAACAATATCTTGTTTTCGACAGTTCACAGCTATTGGTTGGTAAATTTGTCGAATGAATCTTACAGCTGATTCTCTATATTTGACGGCCTGTTACCCTATTGGTGGAAAATGACGTCTTGTTGATTTGAGAGTCTTGGTGATCCACCCTAAACAATCTCCTACAGACATTCTCTAAACCATTGATTCCCAAAGTGGTCTATATCGACCGCTAGGGGTCTATGACAACCTGCAAGGGGTCTACGTCAGCGAAAAAAAATTTGGGGGTCCATGAAATGAATATGGGGGTCCACGATAGTGGATCTCAACACATACACTGATAGTACCTATTTACTTACATCTTCTAATATCAAAACATATACATTATTTATAAAAGTACCTATGAAGTAAAAAAAATATTATATATGTTTATGAAATTGTGTAAGTTGTAGGATGTTGGTATTCGCTATGTGGTCGCAATACATTTTGAACTTGTAAAAACCTGAGAGTCGCAGTATCAGAGCTTCGCTACCTTGCACTGATTTGTTCAATTCGTCACTCTATAAATACGAATGTGGGACAAATACGTTTCTCGTTTCCTGAATCTTGAAAAGGAAAGTGCTAAAACAATATTTTAAAAAATATAAACAGATAGTATATCACACAAATTATAGTGAGTCAGTGTTATTTTATTTGAGAGTGCTGGAAAAAAGTAAGTACATTATTTTTTATTAAATTTTATATAGTTTTGTACTCGTAGTTAGCAAAGATAGATAAATTACGCCACTCATGACTTTATTTATTAGTAGTTAAATATTCAATAATACAAAATTACACGAGTACTCCTCAATAGTTTCTTTTTGAAAGTTTTAGCAATCGGTAATATAATTACAGTGCAATCTCCGTAACTCGAGCTAATTGTTGCAAGATGTTCGAATTATGGAATGTTTTCGGAAAAATCAAAAAATATTTTTAATATACAGCTGCTGGATTTTCTGTCTTATTTAAATAATTTAATTTTGTACACAGATGACTGATGCCATGTCCGAATATAAAAAGAAATGTAGACAGTACAGTGTTGATTATTTGAAATTCATTTCACCATTGTCGGACAAACAATCGCCTATGTGCCTTTTATGCAACAAAGTTTTGGGCAATGACGCTATGAAACCATCTAAACTGCAAGATCATCTGAGAAGGTGCCACCCTGATAAAACAGAGAAAGGTTTGAAATACTTTCAAACACTCAAAGATAAATTTCAGAAGAGACCTAGACTGTACAGAATGTTCGCTTCGACGTCACAAAGAAATGATGATGCTTTGCGGGCGTCTTACAATATCTCGTTACTTATAGCAAAATCCGGAAAACCGCATACTATCGGAGAGAAGTTAATTTTGCCAACCGTTGAAAAGGTTTTAAAAACTGTTTTACACAAACCTGCATCTGATATCATTAAAAGAATTTCCTTAAGCAACAATACTGTTGAAAGACATATTGATGAAATGAGATCTGATATTGAAAGCTTCTTATGTAATTATTTGCAAACGACCCATTTCTCTATACAACTGGACGAGTCAACTTTACCTGATAATGCAGCATTATTATTGGCATATGTTCGTTTTATTATGAATCAAGAAATCTACGAAGAACTGCTCTTCGCAAGAACTTTGATAACCGACACTAAAGGTGGATCAATATTTCATGTTTTGAAGGATTACTTCATTGAAAAAGCAATTCCTTTATCAAATATAATATCAGTAGCTACAGATGGAGCACCTGCCATGGTTGGACGTTATCGTGGATTTATAAGCTATTTAAAACAAAATGTGTCAGGGGTGTTAGCAGTACATTGCATCATCCATCGACAACATTTAGTTGCTAAAAATTTGAGTGTTACATTGCATGAACCACTTCATTTAGTCATTGATGCAGTAAACCGAATCCGAAGCAACGCGTTGAATACGCGGTTATTTGCGCAGTTGTGTGAAGAATGAACACTTTCATCAATTACTCCTTCACACTGAAGTACGCTCGCTGTCGAAAGGCTTATGTTTGACAAGATTTTTTGCACTTTTTGAGACTATTTTAGAATTTCTTGATACTAAAGGTGAAATTTTAAAAGAAAATTTAATGAAGAGGAAAACAGCCATCGCCTATTTAACAGATTTGTTTACAAAATTTAATATGGTTAATTTGCAATTACAAGGCGACAGTTTAAATTTGATTAAAGCAGAGTCCATCTTATCAGCGTTTCTTGCCAGAGTTAAACTAATGAAGCAAAATATTGGATGGGGCGAATTTCCTCAGTTCCCCAATTTGTCACAGACAAGCTGCCAGGAAGACGACGTTTCAACTTACGTTCAACATTTAAATCCTCTCTATTCAGATTTTGGATAATTGGATAGTTAATCCATATGGTGACATAGAAGAAACGAATGTCATAATACAAGAGAAACTGATTGAACTAAGTACAAACGAAGAACTTAAGGTTCAGTTTAAAAACCGATATCAGCAATTCTGGCTGCAAAAGAACGTCATACCTAGTGGAAAGGGGGCTCAGCGCTATTACCAATCTCCTAACGAAAAAAAGAAACAGACTGGACATCATTAGCCGAGGAGATTTAAGATTAACCCTTACAAGATTGATGCCAAATGTTGATAATTTACTATTAAAGCATCAGGTTCATCCTTCTCACTAAAAATATTGACTTATTGCTTATGTTATTTTATTTATAGTTTATTTTATGTTTATTGTTGTCTGACCAATAAATGCCCGCATTGGGAATAAGTGCCCGCATTGATTTTTTAAAGAACCCCCCTTTAAAGAAAGTATTTTCTTTTAAATTATTCTAAAAATTCAAGGATAGGTACACACTAAAATTCGTTAATTTTTTGCCTATTTTTAGATAACTTAAACGTATAAGAATCGGAATTTAATCAAACTAACAGTGAAATTATTGTAGAACATACGTTTATGTTATAATTAATAAACGAACTCGCTTATTGTACTATTGTAAGTAAAAATTTTTTTTTTATTATTTTCTTTTTTTTATTTTATCCCTATTATTTTTTTTTCAATGCGGGCACTTATTCCCAATGCGGGCACTTATTGGTCAGACACCTGTTTATTTAATGTTACGTATATTTTACATAACAGATACAAAATTTTATTTTGAGTAGTTTTAATTTAAATTCAATTAATAAATGTATAAATTAACATGTTTTTACTTTAAGTTTTTAACACTAAACTTCACTACAGTTAGAAATTTACAGGAAATCAGTATCAGGTAAGTAGGGGGTCTACCCAACAAGGAAAAATATGGCAAGGGGTCTACGACACAAAAAAGTTTGGGGAACTCTACTCCAAACTAAAAGTACTAATTGAATGAATACAATTTTCAGAATACATAACATAAATAAATCCCTTGGAAAAGCTATTATCGATGATCGTTGACATGAAATAGCACACACATTCACTTGGTACGTGTCCGAAGCCATAATAGCGTTCTATTCCGGCAACCCTCGAATACGTCAAAGCTCCCTTATCGCTGATGGAGCGCTAAGAAGAAAACGAACGAATGGCCGATATATCACTTTTTATGATATCGCTCCTGGTGAAATATTATGCATTCAGATATCCACTGATATAATTTAACAATGGATCTACAGTCGGGACCGGGAAGAATTTATTTGCTATCCGACACGCAAGCAGCGGTACAAACACCAACAGTTCCAGATGAGATTTATGTGTTTTCGTTCTGCGTATCGATATATGCGACATCGAATAAAAAAATAGAGACAAGTAGGTCGACCCGATGCTAACTGTTACTTCAAACGCATAACTGAACCCAATAACAGACCAAATGGTCATGAGAGACTTAAGCTAAGGTGCTCCTACCAGAACGTTCGTGGTCTCAATTCTAAGACGGTGTCATTCTTCAATGCAGTCAGTGACTACGAATTTGATTTAACTTGCATGACCGAGACGTGGCTGTCTGTGAATGTGAGTGATGGTGAATTATTTCCGGCTGAATACTGTATGTTCAGATGTGATCGTGACTTTATTCGATCTGGTCTAGTTTCCGGCGGAGGAGTCCTGATAGCCATAAAACGCGATTTCCATGCAATTAGAATTGACGATAGTGCTTTGAGTCGAAACTTTCCGTCCATTGATACTGTATGTATTAGGCTTATTATTAACCATGAGCATTTTGTTATCTTTTCAATTTATATTTCGCCTTCAATTAATTTGGACATGTTTGGTCAGTACCTTGAAGCTTTGGAAGTATTTAACAGTGCATTCAGTAATTGTAAAATAATTGTTGCTGGTGACTTTAATGTCGCATCATTCAACAGTGACGTTAATGATCAGAAGTCTCAATTAATGAGCAACTTCATTTCGTTTTTAGATTTAACTAATTTTAATAATATTCCAAATATAAACGGTCGAATACTGGATTTAATTTTAGGAAATATCGAAGTAGAAGTCCTCAGAGATAAAACACCTTCTGTTAAAGAGGACGTTCATCATCCTGCACTGATCATGGAATTCATTACATCCGGATCTCCAACGAAATTCCCATTTGCTAATTCTCCACGGTTTATATCTTTCGCAAAGCTAACTTTCCTGAAATGTACACAGCCTTGCAAACTGTTAATTGGACGGAGGTGATCAGTGCAGTTAATGTTGATGTCGCTTGTACCGCCTTGTATTCAGTTATCAATAACATCTTTGAGGTCCATGTCCCTAAATGTAAAAATAAAATGTTTTCGTATCCCCTATGGTTCACGCGTGAAATTATACTTAATATCAAGAAGAAGGACATAGCAAGAAGGAACTGGAAACGTGACGGTACTAAGTTTTCTTATGATCAGTTCAGTAATTTTAGGAAGCTCATTATGAACCAGATCAGTGCTGCCTACTCCGCTTACGTCCAATCGGTTGAGGATGCCTTTGTCAATGATCCTAGCAAATTCTGGTCATTTGCCCAGATCAAAAAACAGCAATCTAGAATCCCCCCAAGGATGACGCTTAACGGCAATGTCTGCGATACGCCTCAGGATATAGTGGACAGTTTTGCTACCTGCTTTTCAACAGTTTTTATCCCGTCTGGTCTACTAGGGTCATCTCCTCCAACAAATAATTCTACCGATATCATTTCTTTAAAAAATATAAGTAAAGAAAACGTAATTAGGGCTTCGAAAAGATTAAAGAACAAAATGACGTCTGGATGTGATGGTATTCCAAGTTTTTTTGTTAAAGATTGCATTCATATACTAGCGAAACCGCTGGCTTCCACACTCAACCTAATTCTAAAATCAGAGACATATCCAAATATCTGGAAGACCTCTAAAATATGTCCTATTCACAAAAGTGGAGATATCTCTGATATTTCCAACTATCGCCAAATAGCAACCCTGTGCAATTTCAGCAAGTTGTTTGAGATCATCGCTTATGAAACGGTTTACTGCTCGATCAGGGGTGCAGTCTCTATTAATCAGCATGGGTTTATGAGAAGCAGATCTACGGTCACCAACTTGGCTCTAATTACTCAGTACATTTCTGAAGTACTGGACGGTCAGGGACAAGTTGATGTCATCTACACAGATATTCAGAAGGCGTTTGATCAAGCACTTCTGGATAAGCTTAAAACAGTGGGTATGTCTGATGCAATGCTGTCGCTCATGAATTCATATTTGAGGGATAGAAGGTTATTTGTCGAATATGGTGGTCATAGGTCGAGTTACTATCGGGCCACGTCTGGGGTACCTCAAGGGTCAAATCTAGGTCTATTATTGTTTTTAATATTTACTAATGACTTGTGTTTCGAACTGAAGTGTTTCCATTTGTTTTTCGCTGATGACCTCAAAATCTGCACGTCAGTCAAGACAGTCGAGGATTGCGTCATGTTGCAAGATGACTTAGCTCTAATTTCGTCATGGTATTCACGAAACTGTCTCAGTCTGAATGTGTCGAAATGCAAAGTTATGACTTATACAAGAAAAGTTAACTATTTAATTTATGATAATTATAACATCAATGGTCAGGCTATAGACAGATGCACCTCTTATAGAGACCTTGGAGTCATTTTTGATATCAAGCTAACGTTTACTGAGCATATACTCAATATCTCGTCGGCTGCCACTCGACTACTTGGTTTCTGTATCAGAAACTGGAAGGGTTTCTCCAATGTTGATACATTAATGACTTTATTTTTCACTTTTGTCAGGAGCAAGCTGGAGTATGCGACTCTGATCTGGTCTCATATATACCAAAATTCTGTCGTGATCCTTGAGGCCATTCAACGTAAGGCTTTAAAGTATTTTCACCTTAAATGCACAAGTTCTTATCCAGAAAGAGGTTGTGACCATAGAGTACCCTATTAGAGTTTTTCAATTTGGATTCACTGTCAACAAGACGAAACATATTTGCTTTGTCGTTTTTGTATGGCCTCATTCACAATAAAATTGACTGTCAAAATTTACTTGAAAAAATATGTTTCCGCGATCCAAGGCTAGGGAGTCGACAACAAACGGCATTCTATTGTCAAGCTGGTCGTACAAATGTTATGACAAAATCGCCAATTAATCTCATGTGCTGCGTCATGAACTGTGTTACTGAATCGTGTGATATTTATAGTGAAAGTTGTGCATCGATTATTAACTCCTTTAGATCATCCAATCTTATTTAGAATGTGTGATACTACAGATTTAAGTCCAAGAACCATGTCTCTTTAATTGTTATTTTTTTCAGCGTTTCCTGTGATTGGGTTTCACCTGTTGGAAATAAATAAATAAATAAATAAGTAACCGCGCAATTTGATCGGACTCCAAAGCTTTCAGGACCTTGATTATTGAAAATATTAAAAATATTGGAAGCACCTGCAGAACACGATCATAATTATATGATCAAATGAAATTACCTGTAAGTTATGGTCGATCTTGACTATGCGAAGGCCTCGTCAAAGTAAATAGAGCAGGTGTAGTTCCCCGTTTCCCGGCCAAACCCACGAGTTCAAAGCGCACACGAGACGAAGAAAGGCGGCAACCGCGCCCTCCTACCTTCCTCCTCTCCGGCCCCTAGCCTACAAACTCTCATTTTCTTCAAAGCCAAGTTGTTTAGGAATTGGATAATATATTTACTTCGACGAGGCCTTCACATAATTAAAATCGAGCGTCACTTACAGGTAAGTTCGTTTGATCATGGAACTATGTTCCGGCCTCGTCTCGTAAATAGAACAGGTTCAACAACTTATTACTCGCAATAGTAAACGATACAACTACACAAATTGTAAACGATGCATGTGTCAACTAAATTTACCATTCCATTGTAACAACTAAGGTTAGGGCTTTTAACAACAGGTAATACGACGTACATATGTATATATATATATAACTTGAGACGTGGTCATTGTCGTCTAGACCGGTTAGGTGAAAAATTAAAGCTTCCGCCTTTTGTTGGGTACTTCGACAAAATTTAAGCAAGGAGGACTCTTTATACTTTTTTTATTCTCTCTAGCTTTCAATGGTCTTTGCCATCATCATCAGGAGCTGCAATTACATTGATAACAGCAGCAACAATAGTGTAAAATGAATTTAAATTAACTTTCA